CAATAAATGTAAATCTAATAATAAATTCAAAATTAAAATATAAATAAAAAATCATTTCTTCAATAAAATATTTCGGATTAAGATCAAAATTAATACAAATCAGTTTTCCGTACTATTTTGCTGCGATATTTGTCATAATATTGTGCGCTTCATCATCATTATTTCACACAAATGTGCAGTAGACATTTCGTCTCCGCACATTTGGGAGTGTTTATTTTCAAATCTGTACACAAAATGTGCTCCTCGTAATTTTTTCTGCACACGTTGTGTGCGAAGGCAAGCTTGCTGCCTCACACAATGTGCTGTGCGAAATAACTTCGGCACAAACACCGAATGCGTGTGTATTTCACTGCACCACATTCGTTTGAAATGTGCGTTTTGTTTGTGCACACAAGATGTGGCACTTTTGTTTGTGAATAAAATTTTTGCACACCACATTTGTGGTGCAAAATTTTATTTAGAATCGCACAACATTTGTGCGTGGTGCTTTGCATTTCTATGCACAGCACAGTATTTTTCTGAACCCTGGTATTTAGTTTCCATGTCGGGCATTATTCTTAAATCACCGGGTTTATATAATTCCTTTTGAGTCGCTGATTTTTAGTGATTTGGATAAGATTGTTCGCAAATGGGTTTTGGTGCTTTCTGAGTTTGAATTTGTACTTTTATGTGTTGCTGACAATAACATCTATGACTGTGTTAATTTGAAGATCTCTATAAATATTCGAATTTTTTATATATCAGGGAACACCGACTATTTGTCGGAGGATTTTAAATTGAACTCTTGGGAGTTTCTCAATGTTTGATGGAGAAGCAGAGCTCCAGAGTTCAATTTCGTAGGTCCATATGGGTTTTATCATTGTATTGTAAAGTTGCACTTTATAGGTGAGATTAAGTTTAGAATTTTTGTTTATCAGCAAGTTTAGTTCTTGTTGTTTGAACTTTAATTGGGTTACTTTGGTTTCTTTATGCTTTTTTCACGTAAGCCTTCATTCGATGTACATTCTTACGTATTTTGTGTCATTGCATTGTAGTATTACTTTTCCATTAATACGAAGGGCAGGGCAAATATCTCATCGTAGAGTGAAAGTTAGGTGTGCACTTTTCGATTCGTTAACTTTTATTCTCCAGAGATCGAACCATTTTTGCTGTTTTTTGAGGTGGTGTTAAACTGATTTTGTAGCTACGCATGGATCGTCGCTATGGCTGAGGATGACACTGTCGTCCCCAAATGTTAATGTTGTTGTCCAGTCACTGGTTGGCATATCTGCTATGAAAATCAGGAAGAACAAGGGGTCAGTGCATTACCTTGGTGTACACCGCCCATAATGGCAAATGCATTGGAGACAAAATAATTTTTATTTTTTCGTTTTTATTAAGTTAAGATATATTGTATGGTAATTGTTTGTCAAAGGCTTGGGTTATCTCTAGAAACACGCCTGAACAATACCGTCTCTTCTCAAACGTTTCCTTAATTACACATACTATACGGTATACTTGTTCTATTGTGTTGTGTTTTTTTCTAAATCCAAATTGGTGGTTAAATATTATTCTTTTTTTAGTTATATGTAGGGCATCATCTGTTTTATAAAAAGTTTTTCAAATAATTTTGAGAGAATTGGGAGTAGACTTATGAGTCGATATGAAGTGACTTGAGCGAGGTCTTTTCCAGACTTGGGTATCATCATGATTTTAGATAGCTTCCAATCGTTTGGAAAATATGCCATCCTTAGAATAGCGTTATAAATAAAAAGTAGCAAAGTAGCGATTTGTGAGATCTCTTTTAACATTTCGCTGTAATTAAATCGTAGCCTGAGGTTTTTTTGGTGTTTTAATTTTTGATTTCACTTTTTAGTGGATTTTTATTGAAGCAAATTGTCATATTGTCGTTTCGTGTGGGGAGAGACGAAGAGTCTAGTTTTATTAAAGTAGAGTTTGTTAAAGTATAATTCTTTCTATAATTAATCTTGTTCCATCATATGGACTATTTCCATGACAATGTAAAATTATTTTGTAATCTGTTTGACACTCCTTTAATCAATTTCATTAACTGATTGTTCTCATTTACAAACGCTTCCAAAGAAACTACTATTACTTTTTCTGCGGTCCTTATCGGTCATCAATAGCAAAGAGCTAATTCGACGATAAACTTGACCTTGAATTTTAAAAGTTCTTTCAACATTGAAATTATCGTAACTTGTATTTTAAACTATGTTTGTTGCTACGATTGAGATCATTTGAAAGTATAAATTAAATTTTTGGTTTTTTTTCAAAAATAATTAATTTGTTATGCCAGCTATTAATGTTTTTAATAGCTCTGACGGTGCATCTAATGGAAGCAGCTTAACATATTTCAGCTGTTCATTTTCAAATTTAAACGCATGACAATAACCACATTCTATATTAATTTTGCCAAGTATAACTTTGGGTTGACTAAACGATGAACTTGTCAATACACATTGTTTTTCAATGTTGACGCATTCGTATATGTCGTAATACATCAACATTTAACCATTAGTTTCCTTGGTCCTGAGTTTCTTTTAAATGCAACTATCTCATCCGTTCCCTATCGATGTCATTGTTTCGCAAATGTTCGTCAGAAGTTATGGTTTCTCGTCTTATTAGCATAGATTGACTTCTATGCGTATATTTAGAAAGATTTATTTTTGCTTTGAATCTCATTTTTTTTTAGGCAAAGCTACAATTAATAAGAAAAATAAATTAATAACCGTACATCTGATTTAACTTTTCAAATTATA